GGTATCCCCACCGGGACGCGAACCGGCGACCTTCTGGCTGCGAGGCAACAGTGCTAACCACCGCTCCACCTTGCAGCCCAAACTCAAATTTTCAAATTACAGTAGGGTACAACAGTGCAAACATGTTCACAGACACACAGACAACGGCCATAAACTTCCTGAACCCGAACCTGGTTTGGTTCAATTATGACCCCTGTAATTAGAGGTCACCCGGTTCCCTGCCCATACGTGACAGAACATTGAACAACAGAAACACAGTCTGCATTTACTGCCGGATGTGTGCTCAAAAAAACAAAAAAAAAAAAAAAAAAAAACTGCATCTAGCAAAATAGCATTGCTACAGATGCTACTACGGGCCACAACTACAAAAATAATGAGAAAAACAGAATTAGGGATTGATTTGTTTTCTTTTTCCAGGCATATACTAACGGAAATCATCAGTAATATAAGGATAACTGATATTTATAACCAATGTGGATGAAAGTCTTCGTGTCCAGCAGCATAAAACTTCATGGAAATGCTTTTGTTTATTCATGTTTTGAATCTTATAAAACGGCACTTTTAACGTGTATTTTGAAGTAATGACAGGCTATTATTTGTGATGTGTAACCAGCACGTTGCTCAAACCCATAAAGTGAAGGCTACAAATAGAGAAAGGCGGTTGCATCAGAGCCAAAGCAGGACATTTTTATTATAATAATAATAATGAGAAAAATGCTGAATGTCAAACCCAATAATCGCCCGGGCTGATAATCGGTTGTCCCCTCACCAAATCCGTTGCTCATAACATCACACCCCCGACATCCCACCACCTACATCTGTGAGACCCGTATTTGCAGATCTAGTAGTCTTAATACTCCCAGCTTATTCTAAGGCCACAAAGAGACACCACACACATACAATCACTCGACAGGCTCGTCTCCCTGATCAGTGTGTGTTTCAGCTTTTGTATTGTGGCCGTGAAGGAAAAGCTTATTTTAGACACGCATTCATATGGGGTGTATAAATACCACAGAGAGAGCTGATCCTGGCTTTGACTGCCAGGTTGATACTAAACAGGCTGATGAAAGGATAAAGAAGAGTAGTTTTGAGACGACTAACTGTTGATATTTGGGATCTTACGCTTTCTTTACGTCTGTTTTTTGACATTTTATTTTGTATATCAAGTTGAGGACAGGTTGCTAAATACTATACACGAAATAAAGATTAAATTCTATTCCTCATTTTTTTTGTAATTTGGATTTATATCATCACTTCTCTTTTTTTTTTTTATGTGTCATTCACTCGCTTATGCAAGTCACTTATAACGAGACAACATCTCAACAAATATAAATCTCCTGTTCCCCTGCCTCATGAACAAACACTTTGATGCAACACAATCCCCAATTGGAGGATCCATTCAATCCCTTCAGCCAATCACAGAGAGGCACTGCTGCCAAGCAGGAGAGCGTGGAAACAAAAGGTGATGATGGTAGCTGCATGCTGGAAGGACACATGATACGTGAATGATATCAGGGTCTCGTGTGCTCCAACATGTCAGTCACCTCCGCTGACCACGCTCCAGTTATATTTTGATGGAGAGCACGTACGCTGCCTGTTCCATTACTGAATAACTGCTATGAATAAGTCCTAAATGACATACAGATTTCCACACATATATTATTACCATAATCATTTTCCTGTTAGTACCCCACCTACGACGGATGATGCCATCTGGGATTGTGTTTGCAAGTCCGTGTGCTTCTGAGTTGCTGGTGGATTTACATGATAATGAGCCGCACTGCTCTCTGACAGTGCCTTGATGAGGAGCAGTAATAATTCAGCTTAGGGAGAACGGCGAGTAATGAATCTCTTTCTAGTAACTGGCGTTCTCCCCCCCTACAGCAGATCACCGAGGGCAAGTGAATAGGAGCTGGTTTCTGATGCTCATTTGTGATCATGAAGCACCAGGAACAGCAACACAGTCAAGTGGAGCTGAAAGGTTTCACAGATGATCACACTGTAAACAGACATCAGCCTCAAAAGTCACTGTTGGCTTTTATAAACTAAATGAGTACAGTGTGGTTCATTTCAGTAGTGTGCTGGGATTAAGAAACTAAATCATGAGTTACGTTCAAAATACAGAATGTACAGTAGTTGCAATGGCAGTTTTTCAATGTTAGTGCACAGGTGGAGCAGAGTGAACCGAAAAAACAGAATTTCCGGTCTGTATACTTGCCGTTTAGTGGACGGTTTATTTGAGGATACACAAAAAAATGAGAATACAGCAGTTTTCCTGTGGTGAGTTTGGTGTAAATCTGATGCTGGTCTGATGCTGGTCTGGTGAGAACTGTGTGCCCTCCCCCTACCTGTACCTTCCCCTTCCTGTCACCTGTGCCCTCTACAGATACACCCTGTGTCCAATTAAACCATTAAATTACCTTCCAACAATAAACATACATGGCTCCTACAGTATTATTGGGGGGGGGGGGGATCTAATTTGATTCAGAACTTAAGTATTTTTCAGGATCAACATGAAATGTAAATGTATTTATGGAACAAGACCTAAATATTGTTAATGGAGTCTCACTGCTGGTCTTTATTCTTGTGTCTCCACTCTGGAGGAATCACATGAACCAATGTTTACAGGCGAGTAAAGCACAAAGCTGGTGTGCAACTATTCCACAGCATGGCCTTATTATTAAGCTTCTTAAAATACCACTTAACAAAATCTGGTAATTTTACTGTACAAACACCTGTGTGCGTACAAACATCCCTCATCGTGCGTGCCATGTATGTTGTTGTCACGCCTGTTGAGCAGCACATGTTAAAGTCTGTTGTGCCCTCGACCCTACGTCGCTTGGTACAATTTAAGAACACATGATGCAACCTGTCACATAGCTTTGTCAAAAATAAACCCCAGTCTGGCGACCGCAGTCCCCCCAGCCAGGGGGCGATTACTCCTGCAGCTCGACCACAGCTGTGCTTTGTGGGCATAATGGCCGGTGTCAGTGGGGAGGCCTTGGAGGGCAGAAGAATTGTCAGCAGAAAAAGAGAAGCCACCATATTATGGCATCAGTAGAGGGCTGTAGACAGAACGCAGATGCGTCTCTGGCTTCATCTACCCAGTAAAGACTACACGCCCATCAGACACAATAATAAAACTGCCTGCTTAATATTGTGTGTGCCACCAAAACAGTTCTGACCCATGGACTACACGAGACCTCTGTAGGTTTCTTTTGGTTTCAGGCACCGAGACGTCAGCAGCAGATCCTTTAAGTCCTGTAGGTTGAAAGGTGGGGCCTCTTTTGGATGACTCATTTTCCAAGCACATCCCATGAACGCTCAATCGGATTGAGAATCTGGGGAATCTGGAGGTCAAGTCAACGCTTTGAACTTCTGCTCACGTTCTTCAAACCATCCCTAAACAACGTTTGCAGCGTGGCGGGGTGTGTTATCCTACTGAAAGAGACCGACGCCATCAAGATGCCACGAGAGCGTGCATCCGGTCTGGTGGTACGTGTCAGAGCAACGTCCACTTGAATGCCAGGGTCCAAGGTAAATACTCTTGAGCCAACCAGACAGTGAATCAAACCACCACCCACCCAACGAGTCGACAGGCCTGATTCCCTCTAATCTCCAT